TTGCCGCCAAAAAACGTTCCCAGTTAGGCGCCAGAACGAGGTCTTCACGTAAACCCTCCGCCCAATTCTTGCCATTCCTTTCGAGACGCTCTGCCTTGGTCATCGTGGACTTGCTTTTTTTTCTGCTTTTTGCCTTTGGTTGCGGTGAGTCCCGCGCTGGGAGTCGTGCTCGAAGTCGACTCTTGTGCCCTGTGGAGTCTCAGAGTCCTGTAAGTGAAAGTAATAAACCCGTTACACGTCTGCATTCGCGTCAGTGACCACGTTTCCAGGTTTTGAGGGGGGTTTGTTCCCACTTGAACAAGTCAGTAAGTATAATGCTCACACGTATGCGTGCAAGTGGCTCACAGTAAGATATCTCTGGGACTCGAGTCGACAGTGTCGAGTGGTGGGCTGGGATCTGACATTTCCACACTGCAGAACTTGGTTGACGAAAGAGTTGTCAAGTCGGAAAACGGACGAACGGAACGAAAACGGACGAACGTGATCCACCTCTGCTGTTTCGCCGTGGCATTTCTCGACACACAGACCGCCAAGACTTTCGAACCCTTTTCATTGGGGGGGAAACCGGGAAGGTACATGATCAGATAAGTCTGCCCTTTTCCTCGACTCTCATGTCCCGCACCAGCAGTACTCCTCCCTCGCATGCATGGGGCTTTCTCCCCCTCCAGCATACTCTGCTTCCTCCGCATCCAACTGCAAGCCAGGTGAGATGATTCATCTCGTTGTATCACCGATTGAGCAGATCCAGCCGGGACACCCTCATTGCCGTGCCGTTGCTAGTTACGATATCACTGGCGCCGTCCAACACTTCATCTTAGCAGTCGATCCCGCGAAACCCTTCACCATTGCAGAGGGAGTACATGACCCGACCGGCAAAAAGAGAGCAAACGGAGCGATGGTTCGCTACCGCCATCGCTGCCGCTGCTGCGCACAAAACTTGACAAGGCTTTGTACGGTACTTAGTGGACAATCAAAATGATTTATTATCGCCTAGTATTCAGTTTCTACAAGTGTAATGGGCAACTCGTCACAGGAGGGCACTGGCAGCATGTGGAACTGTCCGCTCAGAATACTCGACATGGCGGCGTCAGTCGTTCAGCCTTCTGGGCCCTTGGGGAAGTGAATACGACAAAGGAAACGGCACTTCAGTACCCATTGCTGCAAACCTCAGCTCAGGTAGGCACATAGAGGACAAACATAGCATACCTTGTGGACGAGGGAAGAATCGTCATACGACTCGTTGTTAATTTGAAGCATGTTGGCGACACAATAGATAGTAGCGCCGATTGCAAGCGGGTCGACTGGAAGCTTGCTAGGCACCTGAATCCATTCTTCATCGTGTTCCCAAGCATGAGTTGTCTGGTCCACGCGCTGTCAGTGTAGAGCAACCACTAAATATACAAACTCACCAGACAAGTTCGGCCTGTGAGATGGACATAAATACAACCGCTGTCCAAGCTGTTGTCCGAGTCGCTATTGGTCCAGCTCTTGCCAACGCTCGTTTTCGTCCTCCGTCGTCGGTCTGCACGCAGCGCCCGCCGTTGCACATAATCGAGCGCGACTATCATCTCTTGGAAGTCCTCGATTAGGTGTTGTCCCGGCAGTGCCTCCAAAACCAGGAACTAAACGCGAGTTTCACTCAGCCACATAGCTAGGACGGCATAGCATATAGCATACCTTTTCTTGGCGCTCCTGCACCATGCCAGTGATTCTTCCCGCAAGAGCAATCTGGTAATGGTTGCCAGCTACTGGGTCGATGAACGAGTGGACCGCGCCGGGCGGTAGTTCTGGGTCATCCCGTAGTCGTCGTAGACGTAGCGAGTCGTCGCAGGTCGGAGGAGTGGAGAAGAAATGGGTGATAAACGCTGGGTAACGCTGGACCGGCATGTCCTGATGAGTGTTAAGAGGAAGAGTGACCGCTGATCACGATGATTCCCCCCAACTTCGCTGGGCCAAGCCAGACCATCACAGATAGAGGAATGAAACGCCGTCATGTAAAACGTAGATAGTACATACGGTATATTTGGCGCGCCAAAAAGATCATATGGCGTTGGTATATCTTGTGTTCTCGACTCCCCGTCTCGTATATCGACTCCATCGCGCGTAGTCGAGGCCAATCGTGCTCGAGTAGACCTCGAATAGTGGATCTGAGCTTGTCCTTTTTTGCCCAAGGTGCTACGCTCGGTCCTGAGGGCAGCTTCCCGCTCTTGTTCTCGTCGTAGAAGGCAACCGTCTACCAGACAAATAAGCCATTCCTCATAGTCGGTGTCGTCCGGTCCGTCAGCGCTTGCTATGGCGGGAGCATTGAAAGGGGGGGTGGCAATCCAGTGAGCATAATCACCCTCGTTGAAGTCAGGGTCATTGTCCAGTGCGCTTTTGAAGATATTGTATGTGCTATCGTCTCGCAGAGGGATGGAGCACCACAGTTCAATTATATTCGGCAGAGAGACTCGCGAGATGTGGTGCTTGGCCACCCGGCATCTAGGGCAGATGCGTTCGCGTCTGACTTGTCGACCGCTGTTAGAGTTGCAAGTTAGCACAAGTTGGCGATGCAGGTGTGGCCTACTGGTCACTATGGTCGTATTTGTGATTTTTGAGGAGAATCCTTTCATGTTTGGCTGACGCAAGGGGAGGGCGGCGACATTGAGCATGAAATGTCTGGTCAAGTTGGTAACAAATCATAACCCAACATCACACTCAAATTCTCGAGTCTTATTTTGTCTCCCGTCTTGGATTTTAGCATGGTCATTTTTACGGGGGCACCCGAGGCGAGCCTCGCTCTCACTTTATTTGGCTTTTAAGCATGCTCGATACCAATAAGGAGCCGAATTTCGATGACCCGACTGGACGCAGTAGTTTCATCTCAGATGAGCTTTGGATTATCCTTTTCGGGCGCGTAATCGAGAGCCAGAGTTGCGCTTAGAAGGGATTTTTGTCCAGATCTTGGTCGACAGCAGACGAATCTGAATGACCCGACCCTCCGGGCGTCCAAGGCCCGAGAGACGGTCCGAACCTCCCGGCCGCATCGCCACAGAATTCGCTGACAGCTAATTGTCATTATCACGCTTGACTCCTTCCACTTTGCCGACTAAGCCAGCACACAGACGATACTGCAAGCCACACTCAAAGTCTCTAGGCCGCGGACTGCTTCAAAGCGAGATCGCGGACTGCTTCAAAGCCAGATCGAGGTGAGTTTGCCAATTCCACACAATACTCGAAAACTCGTTTTTTGAGTCTATAGACAAGCGACACATGCAACAAGCACCACTATCTACTCGAGCAACACTTTCAGAGACTATTTGGGGGTCATATGGCGGCGAGGAAAGGTGAACCGGGCGAAGGAGTAAGTGACGCAGCTCAAATCGCCGTTTGGGGTATTGCCACTTAACGTCCTCTTCGACTTCGTAGTCCCGCCGGGGGGCGCCGTACATAGGCCGCCCACACTCCGGACAGTCCCAGCGGTCCTTCAGATGCATGAAAATGCACACATAACAGGTGCTGTGCTTGCAATTCGGAAACCTATATCTCATTCAGTTTACAGCCCTGCCTAAGTCGCAAAAAAATACAGACGAACCAGACAGGATTCGACTTGACCTTATTACAGAGCACACATTTGTACACTGGGAGCACGTTCAACAGTGCCGGGGGTCGATAAAGGCTCGCGTACAGCTCGTCCAATGTGGGAAATCCTTGGGGGAAGTCTCGTTCGCCAACCAACTCTGAGGCGGTGGGGGGGGGGTTAGGCCGACGCTGGTATTTGCGGTCTATCAGGCGCTGCAATCTGTAACTCATGTCGTTCATATCAGCAGCTAGCAACAAAAGACTACTGTCAGCACACTAGCCGTAAACAACGCGGAATTCAAGTTGCTCACCAGTCGGGCGTTTCGCTACCTGCTCTTTTTCTTGGACCGCTGCCTCGGAGGCTCGAGCGCGTTTTATGGTCAATTCGCGCTAGACTACTGCATATTGTCAGAAAAGCACACAGGGCGCAAACGTCAACTCACGTTCTTCTAGTTGTTCCTCGTCAACTGCGTAGGTCGCAGGAGAGGTTTTCGGCTCCCTCCTTTTGGTGGACGGCTGCCTCAGACGCTCGAGCGCGTTTTTTGGTCGATTCGCTCTTCTTCTCGCCCACTTCAACTTCATCGTCTCTACGAGAACGCTTGGGCACTACTAACACCGTCAGAGAGCACCCTCCAAAAGTACAAACTGGATCTTACGCCTGGCACAAAGGAGGTCAACGCTCGCATCGTCGAGCGGCTTATCTCGCGCCGTTCCTTTGGTTGGGGACAGGTAGACTGTTGCGGGGGAAAGTGAAGAAGACATGGAGTAAGAGGAACAGATCTTTTTTTTTTTTTTTTTTTTTGTTTTCCACGCGCAATCACAAAAGCAGCCTTTCATTTCTACGATCACAAAAGCAGCCTTTCATTTCTACGACCACGACGATATGCAGACATTTACAGAACCTATGCGGTCGACAAACCCTCTCCGACTCCCGTATATAACTCTTCTGGGTAATATTTCAGAGGTCAACTCCGGCCATTTTCGAACGAGTGGTGTGGAAAAACGGCCAGCGAGAGGCGAGAAAGGGACCAAAGGAAAAGAAAGACGAATACGACAAGCGTCGAGCGTGCTAGCACGCAGGAAAAGGGAGAGGCAGACGAAGGGATGAAGGGGAAGGGGAGAAGGGGAAGAGTGGCCGCCAAAGTTTGATCACCTACGCGACGTCAAGGTCGACATGTTTTGGCTCCGAGCCTGAAACCCGCCAAATGTCGAGATGTCGAGAAACGTTGAGGAAGATTGGCTAGGGGTGCTTCACTGCTTGCTGTGCGTTCGTGCGTGGAAAGGTTTTAAGGACGCAGGAGAGTTCATCGACCAAAATGAAATTCTCGTCGTGAAGAAAAGTTGGAGAAAAGAAAAAGGTGATGACGTGACCTCGGGCATCGGTCGATCTGGGCGTGGGAATAATTTGCCACTTCGGGACCTTCAAATCTTGCTTCCTTTCCCTCGTCACGGACGAATCACGATTCACGATGCACCCCAGTCTGGCTTTGTCGAACCTCAACAAGCTGCCCTTTCGCCATAAGGTGCACGAGCTCACCGCTGCAAAATCTATATTCCGGCTAATACTCAAGTGCAGAAACTTGCCACTGAGGCGGTGGAAGGGAATCTGCAAAAGCTTGACGCTCTCCTCGAGGCACTGAAGACGCTTCCGCAAAAGCAGCATGCCTTCGTGACGCCCGTTCTTTACGCACTCCTCGAACCGGATTCGGCCATCATTCAAGAGCTTCTTGAGCAGGGTGTCGCTGGCGCCGAAAGACTCGCTCGCCGTCTCACGCAGCTCCAGACAACGTTCAGTCTGGCGCCCACCGTGCTCCTGAGCTCTCCGATACCGGAAGACGCCGCGACGGCCGTTTGGGAGCGCATTTGGTTCTGGGCCCAGTTTCTGGACCAGCTCTACGAGCAGCTGCCCCTTATGCCGCGGGAGGAAGTCTACATCTCCTTCATACTCGCATCGCTCCCTTTGACGTCGCACGTGGATAAATCCCGTGCCGCATTCCCGCTGCAGACGCCTGGGGTGCGCGCCATGCTGGCCAGAGCCTGGGTAACGCTGTTTCGCGACAAATCCCTGCGTTCACTGCAAATGATTTCCTTTGGGTTGAACTATTTGACCCAGGATGCCTATGAAGACGACGAAGAAACCTGTTTGTGGGAGCTCAGCGACCAGCTTGGCGGGCTTGATGCTCTCGCAGACCTCATCATCGAACATCTTGCGCATCTTTTCCCAGCCCCAGCTCCTGCGACACCGCAGACAGTGAAGCTCGCAGACGGCCTGGTCTACTTTCTGCACAGGATCTGGCACAGTACAAGCTTCATCTCTATGCTTCCGGATGCGGGCATCTGTTCGCTTTTGGTTACTGTCTGCCGTGCTCTCAGTGCAGACCAGTCGTCGCTTGCCCAAAACCTGTACGAACTCGTGCATGAGCTTTTGATTGACGGTCTGTGCTCTCATGCATTCACCGAGAAGGGTGCGCGTAGCATTGCGGACTCCCTTTCTGCTGGGCTCCTATCTCTTCTTACTCCCCCTACACCCTATAAGACTCGGAAAGAACTACTCCTCGTTTTTGATCGCGTTCTTCCAGGGAAAACTGTTTTTCCTTCCGTTCTTGTGTCCCTATCTCCCGTCCTGCCGACTCTTGAGCCCCCTTCCGACATTATCATCGGCGGCGCCTTTCTCAAAGTATGGAATCATTTCGTCGAATTGGTGGAGCGGCGCTCGGCCTTTTTCGTTCATTCTTGTCGCAACACAATCGCCCCGCTGCGAGCGTGTCATAATCTCAAGGTTCAAAGCTCTACTCTACTGTCACCCCACGTTAACCTTGATTGGAGTAGTGCAATCAAATACGCAAAAAGACTGAATTCAAGCAGTGCACCGGCTGTTTAGTCGCATATTACTGCTCAAAAGCATGCCAGAGAGAAGACTATCGCACCGGAGCACATCGCCACGAATGTCCCAAACTAAACGAAGCAAGAAAAGGTGCATTTTACCAGCCTGTTGATTGCGACGGGACGGACAATCATACAGGTGAACGGCTCTCCTTGAAGAAAGAAGACGACAAGTTCTTCCGTGCATTGCTAGCCGCCGAATACGCGCGCAGGAAGGTTGAAATCGGCGTCAAGATCGTGAAATTCTGGACTGAGAACCCTGACGAGGTGCCCTGTCTCGAGTTTGATTTCTCAGCCGGCGCTGTTACGGTCAACGTTTATTCTGCCCCCTACATGAATTCCGTGACTCACATGGGGGAAATCAAACGTGGATATAGGTGGCCTCCTGATGGCTTCTCAGAGGCGGTAGCGAGATCGGCAGCGTCCCAAGGGCGGGTCTGGGTCCATCTTTTCGCCGTGGAGGTGGGAGACGGTGGGGCATCGAACGTGCGGCTGTTGCTGAAGCCGCTGCATACCGAGAATGCTGCCCTGTGGAATGGTCTGAAGATTATCGCAGCACGTTGGCGATGCGATAACAGCATCAATATTGCCGACGAGCCGCAACGCGAAGACGTCGAGCGGCTAGTCAAAGTGTGTGAGGGCATCGCAGAGACCCATTCATGAACAAACATATGTAGCTCGGCGCATGGCCCTTCTTAGCAGTGCATTCAACGTTGTCTCAATATTTTCTTTTCTACATGATGATGATATCTTCTTCTCTCTGTGTTGTCTCATTTCACAACCGACCAAGCAAATCCAGCGGCGGACGTGAATAAGTCGGCTACACAACAGACTCGGCGGGTTATTCACTGACAGCCGAGGAAGACTCACGAATTCCTCTGGCTTGTTGTCCAAAATAGCCTCGATTTCCTCCAAGTGCTTGTCGGTAATCAACGGCAAAACTTTGAGGGCTTCCAAGTTCTGCGTAAGCTGTGGAACAGAGCTGACGCCGAGGATGATCGTCGATGTCGATTTCTTCAGTCCCAACCAGGCGATAGCTAACGCAGTCGGGGTAGAGTTTAGTGCTGATCATAGTACACCAGTCATTAGCTCGTGCTTCAAGTGGGGATCCTAAACGCACATTCGGCAACTTTGGTCAACTTTTTGACCTTCTCGATTTTCTGGAGCCCCTCATCGGATGTATGCAGTTTCGCAGCGCTGCCTTTGAACATAGCTTCTCGGGCAAAGCGAGAATCGGGCGGGATACCATCGTTATACTAGAACAATCGATAAGCACGAAAGCTGGCAGATCATTTGGCATACTTTGCCAGTCAGGAGCCCAGAAGCCAGCGGCGACCAGATTGTAGTTCCATAGTTATACTTGCGATACAGAGCCCTGAGTTCAATGTGATCAACTGAATTACTTATCTCCAATGTGACGCACTCATATTCCTTCTCTGGACGTTCGCGGTGGAACATGCTGCGTATCTAGGTTAGCTCAATGACCTCGGCGTTGCGGAAAATTCTTACTGGTGCTGCATTTGCTCGGCAATAGGTGCAATAAGATTGAGCTTGGTGGCAACGTCTTGAGTTTAGCAAGTCAGAGAATGATAGCTTTGCAGAATATATGAGCCAACTCACGATAAGCCTCCTCAATTTCGGCCGCGCTCCATTCCGAGGTACCCCAATAGAACGCCCAGCCTTTCTCGATAACGAAGTTGAATGCACGAACAATCTCCTCCATCGGAACTGGCATATGTCAGCTTCAAGAACCATGGCTACGACAGGGTGTACCAGTGCGGTCGTAGCGATGAGCGAATATGACGTCGACGTAGGTCATCTGAAGTCGCTCGAGAGATTCCTGGGTTGCTTCAATAATGCTGTTGGCGATATGAACTACAGAATACGGATGATGCAGAATATTACGCACTGCTTGCGCGAAAGTCCAGTGTCGTTTGGCCCGCTGCGAAGTCCCCAGAAAATTTTCGTCGTTATGACCAGGTCCGAACGCTTATAGTTAAGTTCCTTGATAACCCTTCCCATTTCTATCTCAGATTGTCCTTTGGCATATGCCTCGGCTTAAGGCTCTAATCAATCGCTTGGGCAGTCCGAAAGGATGGTAGACGCACCGGTGTCGAACATGTTGATACCCGCCTCAAAGGCCGTTTTAATGATTTCCTGGAGTAAGCTCCGCCGTCAAACGCGAGGAACCGAGAAGAGGTTGTGGATGACCGCACCTTTACGGGGTCACCGGTCACGGACCCGCCGAGAGTGAGCCCTGCACCGCGCCGTTAGCTTCATCGATAACGATACTTCGAAATGACGCACATCCGCCCAAGGAGAGCAATGGGACACGGAGCCCGGTAGGACCCAGCCTTCGAAAGGGCATGTTCTTGGCATCGAAGACGGGGTGTTCAGCCATAGCGGGGTCGTTTGTGGTTCAGGGACGTGGTGGAGCAGAAGAACGAGGGTCACACGGCCGATCGTCGATATCGCGTAATTTATAAGCGGGGCGGGCCGCCCAATGACCGGATGGTCGGAACTCCGGAGCCGTGACAGTGTGGGGAAACAAGTATCGGCCATCCTCGGCTTGCTTTTTTTTTTTAGCACACACACTGTATGGTTTAGCTTCCAGCCGCAGGGTATATTTATGGTACATCATACACGATTGCTTTTCAAGTGATTATGTAACAAGGGCCTCTGGTGCCTGCGCCTGACTAAGACCTTGCTTCACTTTCTATGTATTCTTGTCGGTGATCTGCCTTATCAGTGTTCCAACCAGGCAATGATGGGTAATATTGTAAAATTGTAGCAAATATATTCTGAAAATAAATTGCCTTTTTGGAAAATATTTGGGTGAGGCTCAAAACCTGGAAATGCAGTTCCAGGATATCAGCAAAACGCTACTTAAACCTGATATTCAAGTATGCTTGCTTATAAATACATATAGAAAAGATGAATTATGAGAGGGAATATCATTTATTCAATATTGTGGCCCACTTTTCCTCACCACTCTGGCTTACATCTGCTCCATTGGTCGGCCGCTCGATTCACTTGCCACCAACCTCCTATGCTCACCTAAAAAGTCAAAGGAGATTTATGCCTACCTAATAGGAGGAGGATTGATGCAACTTTCATTTTGTGACAATGTGTGACATGATCTAATGATTGAACATATAGCTCAGCTACATACTTGAAAGCACCAGTGGGCATTCAAGTTGGAACTTGCCCTCATACTCATGTAATCTCAACAATAAATATAATCTATAAATGCAGCTTGACGGCCACATATAGGGGGAGAATCCAACCAAACCTTATCACCAACTTGAATATTCGGAGCGTCCGAACGTTTCCGATCGTAGTACCGTTTATACTCGTCCTTGGCTTTAACAAGCGCGGCCTTTGCCTCGGAGACGCCGTTAGCTATCCGGTCGCGAAACTCGTTCACCAACTCCAACTCTGAGCGGGCGCCTGGCTCGAAACCCATTCGGGGGAGCCGACCAGTGTCCGTCATAAAGGGTACCTGTTGAGTGGACACCCTATATAGCTCATTCTTTGCAAAAGATGTGGGCTGAGCTGCAAGACTCTAATGCAAAAGATGTGAAACAGGGTTTAATTATTGAATTTCTCAATGGAATTGAAAGATATGACTAAGCTAAAAATTGATATAGTCATATAGATCACCTTTTCTTCAGGCCGAATACTCGTAGGGTAATACTTTGGACTTATGTGGCAGAAATAAGAAAATAAATTCAGAGATTAAGTAAGACTGATGTGGCATCACCTGGTCATTAGATCTAGTGATGGCAATCAAAAATCGTTCCACATTAGGTAATATTATCTAAATGCACTGATCCCATCAATCAAAACCCGCCAGAGGGCTTATAAGTAATTATTTTATTGCTTGTAAGTTTTTCTTTGGGCACTTGCCCTCATCTTTTGCATTACAGCCTTGCAGCTCAGCCCTCATCTTTTGCAAAGATACAGCTATATGAGCTGGGTCGAGATGTGTGGCGCCCTCGAGGAAATGCCGATACTCCTCGAGTGCGCGGATGATCGCGAGCATCTCCTTGTCGTGAATCTCGTAGTTGCGCTGGACATCATTTAAGCTTTTTGGAATAGAACGCTACAGGGTGCCCCTTCCCGTCTGGGGCAGATTGTTGTGAAAGACCCGCCCCTGTCGCATAATCTGAGCTGTCTGCTTCAAGTCGGAAAGGCCGAGAGTCGTCCGGGATTGCTAAGACGGGCTCTGAGATGACCGCGTCTTTGATAGCTTGAAAGGCGGCGGCTTTTGGCGTCTCCCCAGGTCCATTTCTGGTCTTTCTTGGTGAGCGCAAAGAGAGGCTGCGCAAGGGCCGAGAAATCCCGAATGAACCTGCGGTAGAAATAAGCAAACCCCAGAAACTGCTGGACGTCCTTCTTGTTTTCGGGCGGAGGCCACGCTGAGACTCCGGCGACCTTAACGGGATCCATTTCAACGTGGTTGTGAGAGAGATGATAACCCCCAGGTACTCGATGTGCAATAAGGATATTGTCGAGGTAGATCATAACGTCTCCTGAAAGAATGAGATCCTGGAAAATGTCATTCATCATCGTTTGGAATGTCGCGGGGGAGTTCGTCAGGCCAAAATACATCACCAAAGGTTCGAACCACCCTCGGTTAGTCCGAAAGGCCGCCTTCCACTCGTCTCCTCCTTTAATCCGGACGTTATTGAAGCCCCAACGAACATTGAGTTTAGTGAAATAACGGGCACCCTTGAGCTTGTTGATAAGGTCATTAATCAACGGGAGGGGGTACCGGTTCTTAATTGTCATTGCGTTGAGGGCGCGGTAGTCCTGGACAAACCGAAGTCCTCCGTCCTTTTTCTTAACGAAGAAGACGGGGAGGCCATCGGAGATTTCGAAGGGCGGATACGGCCGGTGGCAAGTCCCTCCTCGATGAACTCGTCAAGTTCGCGCTGTTCAAGGGGGAGATCGGATACACCTTGCAATTAGCGGGCTCTGCGCCGGGAACGAGTTCGATAGCGTGGTCCCAAGCCCTCCGCTCTGGTAACATGTCGAAGGACTCCTTGTCAAAGACGTCTTGGAACTCCTTGGCCCAGTCCGGAATTTCCAGGGGGGGGGCCGAGTTACGGGCGAAGGCCCCTGCAAGGCGTTGGGACACGGTGCTCCCAGCGCGAATCTCCTCGATTGGGCGAAAGGAGGTGTAGAAGATGCGGTCGCTGTCTTCAAGATGCTCGTCATCGTCGAGATCTGGTGAGGGACTCGGAGGGTCCGGTAGCTCCGAGTTCGTCGTCAGCATCGTCTGGACCGGCAATATTGATAGTGCAAACAGTGGGGAAGGCGCCTGAGAGCAAACGCGATTTGAGGAGTCGGAGGCGCCGAACCTCAGCGCGCTCGGTCCGTTCCTCGTCGCGGCAAGTGGAGCAGCTTTGGGGGCATCGACTCATTTTCACCTCTTTCGTTTCCCAGTTGATCTCGGGGTTGTGTTTCTTGAGCCAGGAGTATCCGAGTATCAAATCCTGTTTCCCAAGGTGGGTTACAGCCAGCTGAACGCGTTCGGAGTGTCCGTTGTATTGTAGAACGAGGTCCACGATTTGGCAAATAGACCCAGCATCATTGGGGGTACCGTCGACATTGTAGACCGGTATGGGTACTGAGAGATTTCGGACTGGCACGTTGTT